GCCAGATTACAGTATACCCCTTCAGGCCAGAATATACCCATAATTTGAGCTGACAGGTATGAAATGGCCTAGGCTGTAGTATACTTGGACTATAATCTAGTCTAGGCCCCTTTAATCCCAGGTATAGTCCGGACTGGGGGTATACTGTTAGACAGTATCTCACCAGGCTGCGAGTGCTAAAAATGTTGTTGTTTGAGTCGGGACTAGACCCAAAGTGCAGGCACAGACATACTGGATGACCAGAATTTAGACAAAATACTTAAAATAAAAAATAAACAGATGGTAAGGCCACAAAATACTGAAAACTAAAACCCATCACAGAACCACGAGATCACCACAGGGAACCAGGAATCTGACTGAAGGAAACTGGAGCGAGTAAACATCATCTGACAACACGTAAAGGTGAGTATTGAAGCTGGAAGGAGAATTTACTGAGTGGAAACAGGTGAGTAGAACGAGTCTATGCAGAGCAGGTGTGAATGATGAACCCAAGGCAGAGACGACTAAGGGAACCCATGGCCAATGACACAAGCAGGAAACTAAGTGACAAAATATGCTGAACTCAAGGAAATTATGTCTGACCTAGTAACAAATCACAAACCTATAAAACAAACAAACCCCAACATCATGACACTGAATTCACAAGTCACTCTTCAAAGTACCTTGAAATATAGTGTCACTTCAACGTTGAACATGTTCCTCATCCCAAGAGCACCAGTATTTTATCTTGACACATGCAAAGGAGCTCCCCTCTACTCGAAAACATTTCCAAGTCTAACCACCAGAACCAGACGGATACTAAAACTGCTCCACATGGACCTGTCTTCATATCTAAAGTGTGTTCCAGTAGATTAAATCATAAACAGGAGGGCAGCTGTTGAGCTGGGTACACAACAGGCTGAGGTGGGTACGCTGTGGGCACAAGAGCACGGAAAATAATGTGAATGCAATTTTGATAGCAAACAAGAATAATCCATGACTTATAAAAACAACTGTTATTCAGCCACATGACTCATTGGTTACTTGGTCACAAACTCTCTGAAATCAGTGACTCAAACATCACATCTTCATTTTTCTGGCAATTTTGAGTCACCAACTGGTCACCAACTGGTCACCAACTGGTCACCAACTGGTCACCAACTGGTCACCAACTGGTCATCAACTGGTCACTAACTGGTCACCAACAGTCACAACTCAGTGAGATACTGTCTCTAGCAGCTATTTGTCTAAACGATGAACAAGACCAGAATAAGAGCCAAATACAAGTCCTGCACATGAATACAGATCCAGAGGCAAATAAAAGTTGGTTTTCTCCCCTTCACTCGGATAACAACCATAATATGATGTCAAAAAGAGCAAGAACATGGATGAACTTTGCAGGGGTCCCAGTACGTGCTCTTCATTAGAGCATAATTAGGTATCAAATATTCTGAGCATGAACTGAACTTCTCTAGTGAGATTGTACTGGTTTATTATGGTGGGGGCAGAGTAACTATGAAGGTTCAAGGTGACTTCATTGTCATTCACATCACATGTGGTACATGAAGTGGAAGGAAATTGTGTACTCACAACTATGACGTGGGGCCTTTGAACACTTGTGTGACTTGATCTTTGAGAACTGAAACTGGAATAGCTCTGGTGACCTTTTGTCTCAGCTAACACCATGATGGTTGCAAGGTCATGGAAACAACCTCGCTCAGACCTGAGACCTGTGGTTATAGTGTCATGCTAGCTAGGTGTTACTTTTTAGCCCATACTGTGTTGCAGCCCAAAAGTCATGCCAGGGATGGAATACAGAGCGTGGCAAGGGATAAGGAGGAAAACAGCAGGAACAAACTGTTAGTGAGAGCATCATGGCTGCCGTCATACTTCACACAGACATGTTCCTGTTCTTAGTATTTTACATCACTTTATAATGTAGCTGCTTCGGTTTCATTTTTTATATAACTTCTTCTATTTACTTTTCATTTTATATGCTTTTTATATGATTGTCTATTGTCGTCTGTGTTCTTTATTTAAATCAGGTCTCTCTTGTAAATGAGTCTTAGAGGCTCAATGAGACTAACCTGTAGAAATACAGTTTGGATGAATGAATGAATGAATGAATGAATGAATGAATGAATGAATGAATGCTGAAGGTTTGCCAGTAAGACTGCCTAGCAGTGTCACCCAAGAAGAGAGGCCTTCATTCCACACATTTGGAGGAATGTTAATGCAAATCAGGACAAGACTTTTTATGGTGTTACTGGAACATGGCTGTGTTCAGACGTTTTATTTGTTTACAGCAAGATAAGAAGAATCCAGATTTATTATCAGTCTGCACCAGCAGTGATCTTTGGTTTAGTGAGTTGAACAGTGAATCTGCATGTCACTATTTCATTTCTCAGATTCCACTGTTTCCAGAAGTCTGTCATGCTCATTAATAAACCGTGCAGGATTCCAGGTGTGGCCCCTCGGCCCCTGGGTCAGCAGAGAAAACCGAAGGACAAACGCTTCTTTTCACGTCTTTAATTAAAAAAGGAAAATGCAGTCTTTCTGATTTACTTCTCTCTCTTTTTAGGTTCCTCTCTACCCTGACCTGCATTTCATTTTACATCCAGCCAAACTGTGCTCCTTTTTGTTTGCAATATGTTTTTTAATCAGCGTCCTCTTACTTGGTGTCTTTCTCTGCTTTACACGTTCTGTTTTCTTGGCAACTGAGGTTCAGCTAAACAGGAATACAGCTCATTAAGTCATCTGGTTTTGACATTTCCCAGTTAAATAAATAGTTTTAAACACAAATCAAAAAGCTTTTACATTTAAATTGTCTCTGGGCTTGGAGTGCAGTCTCACCCTGTGTGTCATCAGTGTCCCCTCATCTGAATACTAATACTAGATCAGTGTGACTTTATAGTTTACCTTCATATGGACTGCTTGTTGCACTAAGCTCTAAAATGTGTTCTTTGTATGCTCAGCATATACACTGATCCTCCCATCATCTACCAGTGTCAAATTTCACAGTAAAAGTTTTATAAAAGTGGCACCAGGACGTGTTTCGTGTGGCTTCCCACAGATATATTTGAAAAAAGCAGAAACAGTTCAGTTTCGACGAAGCGCTGTTACGAGCAGACCATTGTCCTTAAAGCTCAATATAACATGTACAGCATCAACCCAGGGCTGACAGCTAAGAAATAAAACGTGAGGTTGAAAAAGTCCTTTTCCTCATGTTGGGAAACCGTGCGCACAAAATCCTCATAACGCTGGTGCGTCTCCGTGCATCAGGTGTTGTGCTTTGTTTGGCGTTCAGTGTGGACAGGGAACAGACAAGACGCAACACCTGCAGCCACACCAAGGGTTCGAAACCTCACAAGCTACAACTTCAGCCTCCGATAGTCAATAAAATTAATCAAATGGTGTTTTCAGCTAAACCACATAAATACTTGTAAGTCAGACATTTATTGGGGACTGCCTAGAGAGGCAGCCACCTGCACCTGTTATCCACCTGAACAGGGTCTTGCTCTTCCTTCAACTGGAATGCGGCCCAAACCACGTCCCCCCCCCCACACAAATGTTATATCAAAGCGACCGCCTCGGCACCGTGATGTGTGCCGTTACAGTTATTGGCATTCGGAGTTACCATGGCGACGTCATTTGCAAACAAAGACGCAGTTTTTCTCATTCATAATGCCTGTTGGAACTGAACAGCTTCTAACTGCTACAACTCAAGTCCTCTTTGAGGCACTGAGCTGAAATGTGGCGTGCTTATAGCTGAGCACGTCGCCCAACAAATACTGTACTCACATAATCTAAGATGGCCACCAGAGCTATATTTAAATGGCTTTAACTCAGCTCGTTTTACACCTGCAGAGCTGAAATTTGATGTGGTTATGGCTGAGAACGTTCCCATCGCATACCGAATCTAAATCAAAAATCCAAGATGGCTACCACAGCTTAAAAGGAGAAATGACTATAAAACATTGACTTTTTATCACATCGAGCTGAATGTGGTGTGGTAGTAGCTGAGAAGGAACATGAACACAGTGCTGTCGAATCAAACATTTACAGTGGCAGCAGCGTGGCAGTCCCCATCAACGTTTCTCCAGAAATCGATAAAGTTAAATCTGGTCCTGTGGACGTTGAAAAGCAGCAAAAAAATAAATAGTAGAAACGTTTCCTCTTTCATCTGAAAGACTTCTTCAGTCTGAGGATGATAGACGAAACGTTTCTACTATTTATTTTGCTGCTGTTGTTCAACATCCAGAGGACCTGATTTAACTTTATCGATTGCTCTACCTGGATTGTTGAGCAGCATCACGATGTTTGTCCAGAAACGTTCCAGTCTTTCAACTGAAAACCATTTCAACCAGTGAACTCAAAACTTGGTGGTTTCTAAATACTAGTCCAATTTGGAAAATGACAAATATGATCTGGTGGATTGTTCTTGTCTTTTCTGCATTTGACAGGAGGTGATTTTAGTCTTTTTACAAAGGTTTGAAAGCGTGTTCATAAATTAGTGATCCTAAAGCCAAACAACGATGAATTGCTTGTTTTCCAGCAGAACGACATCTGTTGGCAAATCAGTGCACAGATCATGTGAAGAGGGGAAGGCTCACAAAACCATATGCACGGTTTCATAAACGAGAAGGATGGATTTTTACAACCTCAAAGTATCTTTGTGTCCGGAGCCCCAGCCAGCTCCATCAGCTTGTCTTTGATGCTGCCTTCATGTTTGGGTCGTCAAAAGGACCTGATGTAACTCCTCCAGTAGAGGAAAACGGTAAAGGTTTCAAACCAGGACAGAAAATCCAGTTGTTTTATTTTAAAAGTCACATAGCTGTGTGGGTCATCTAAAACAAATAATAATTTAAAAAAACGTCATGAATGTAATTCCAAAATCTAGAACCTGTCTCTTCCAAGTCGAGCAAAGATAAGCCAGCGGGAGCTTTAGTAAATGTTACCATTCACACACACGGTTGAATTAGATGCACGTCGCACGGCGGCTGAACATTCTGGTCCTCCCTTCACACACATGCTCTCTTAGCATGCAGCATCTCGATGAGCAGGTTGTTGCAGGTTACCTCTCTGCTCAGGTGCATGTAGCACAGGTAGTCCTCGGCCTGCGTGCTGAAAGAGCGCAGCTCAGGCAGCCGGACCACCAGCTGGCTGAATTTATCCTGAAACTGAGGGTACGTGGTAAGAGTGTACTCCAGCAGAGCCCCGTTCACCTGCTCCTGGACCCCCTCCACAAACGCCTGGTTCTCCAGAAGCTTTACATCTGCAAACAGACGGGGGGGGGGGGGGGG